TGCACACCGCGCACACCGGGAGCCCGTGCACACCCGGTGCCCGCACACACACCCAGTGTCCCTGCACACACCCAGTGCCCGCATGCACACCCGGTGCCCACGCGCACACCCAGGGCCTGTGCACGGCGCACACACCCAGAGCCCATGCACACCGTGCACACCYGGTGCCCAYGCACACACCCAGGACCCRTGCACACTGCGCACACCCGGTGCCCCTGCGCACACCCGGAGCCCATGCACACCGCGCACACCGGGAGCCCGTGCACACCCGGTGCCCGCACACACACCCAGTGCCCCTGTGCACACCCAGGGCCCGCGCGCACACTTGGTGCCCCTGCGCACACCCAGAGCCCATGCACAGCGCACACACTTGGTGCCCCTGCGCACACCCGGAGCCCATGCACACCGCACACACCCGGAGTCCATGCACACCCCACGCCCCTGCACACACCCGCACTTGTCACTGCCCCCGGCTCCCGGTGTCGTGGTGCTCTCTGCTGCACGTCCCCATGCGCCGCCCGCTCCACAGCTTCCCGTTGCAMGGGCGGCCTGCACGGGGGCCTGATGCCCCCGGCACGCGGGGYGCCCACGTCCCCCAGGGGTGCCTGCTGCACCCGCCGGGCTCTGCTCTCCTCCTGCAGCCACTCGAGACCCTCTCCTTCCCGCTGCAGAGGCCGGGCATCCTCCTCGCCAGCCCCTGGCCTCGCTGCCGGGCCCCTCTTCTCCTTTGGGTGCCAGGGAGGGAGCCGGGTGTCCTGAGCTGCCCTTGGCACCTGTGCATTGACTCTGCCTGTGACTCTCCCCACGCCGGGCACCCTGTGCCTGTCCCTTACAGCAGGGTGCCACGGTGCAGGGCGGGGGCCAGGCGTGCAGGAACGAGGGTGAACGTGGGGTGGCCGGGAGGAGGGCACGGGGGGCGCGATCGGGGCTGACTGCCCCCGGCGTCTCCGCAGCATCCGCAGCGTCATGCAGAAGTACCTGGAGGACCGGGGGGAGGTGACCTTCGACAAGATCTTCGCGCAGAAGATCGGTGAGCTGGNGGGGGGGAGCGGGGGGGGCAGCCCCCTGCCTGGCGCACCCATGGGAGCCGCCTGGGCGGGCGGGGGGGGCGCAGCCCGCGGACGCCGTGTCCCCCGCCCCGCCACTTCCCCCTCCAGCACCGGCTCTAACCGTCCGGGGGCAGGAAGCGCCGCTCGCTTCCTCCCGCCCGGCGCTGGCGGTTTCCGGGCACGTCCGCCCCGCTGCAGCCGGCCCCGCTGTGCCAGCCGCCGGGCCCCGCTGCAGCCGCCCCACGGCGCTGCCCCACTGTGCCCAGGCCCCACTGCAACCACCCCACACGTCCCACATGTCCCCAAGCCTGCTCCCGATGTCCCCGAGCCTGGCAGCTTGGGGCGAGCGTCGCTGCCCCCCTGTATTACCCTGGCAAACCACCCCCGGGCTGCCCCCAAACCGCCCCCGGGCTGCCCCACACGTCCCCGCGCTGGGGGCCGGGCGCAGCGGGCGCTGCCGCGTGCGCGGTGCCCCTCACCGCCTCTCTGGCCCTGCCAGGGTACCTGCTCTTCCGCGACTTCGCCCTCAACCAGGCAGAGGAGGCCAAGCCCCTGATGGAGTTCTAYGAGGAGGTGAGATGGGCGGACGTTCCCGGGCGGAGCCGGGCGTCCCTGCGGCTGCAAGGTGGCTCCGCGGCGGGACTCGGTGCCTGCGGTGTCCGGGATTTGACTCCCCTTTTGCCTGGCACCCGGGGGCTTGGGGACGTGGTTGCTGCAGTACCGGGCGCCGGGGAGCCGCCTGGCCCAGGCCTGCCCCATGGGGGCGATGCCCGTGCCCCATGGGGAGCSCCGTGCCCACGGGAGCTGCGCCCCTGGCAGATCAAGAAGTATGAGAAGCTGGACTCGGAGGAGGAGCGAGCCGCCCGGAGCCGCCACATCTTCGACCATTACATCATGAAGGAGCTGCTGGCCTGCTCYCACGTGAGTGCCCTGCCCCATGGCGGGGCCCAGGGTGCTGGGCGCGGAGGGGCTGCCCACGTACCCCTTGTAGGGGATGCTGAGCCCGCCGCAGACCCCGTCCCGTGTGGGGTTTCCACTCATTTCCCACCGGCTTGAGCAGTGCCGTGTGCCCTGCCCCGGAGTGACGGGATCYCTTCTCGCCTTGCAGCCCTTCTCCAAGAGCGCCACGGAGCACGTGCAGAGCCGCCTGAGCAGGAGGCAGGTGCCCCCCGACCTCTTCCAGGTGGGCCTCGCTCAGGACACACCTGGGCTCCCCGCTGCCCCCGCGGCTCGGGGTTGATCCTTGCRGAGGGCTGGTGGGAGGGTGCTGGGGACAGGCGCCCCTGGGGGCTCCCGGAGGGCTTGGGCGCCCCAAGGGACAGTGATGGTCACTGGAGTGCTTGGTGACAGTGAGAATAGGAGGAATCCCCAAGGCGGAGGGTTACCCTGGGGGCTGCAGGGGAGCCTGGGGGGCAGTGAGGAGCCAGCCCTCATCTCTGTGTTCCCCCAGCCCTACATTGAAGAGATCTGCCAGAACCTGCGTGGGGGCATCTTCCAGAAATTCATTGAGAGGTGAGATGGGCCAACAGGCCTGCTGGTCCTGGGGTGTCCTAACACACCTGGGGAACCAAGGAGATGGTGGGGGACACCTTCTTAGATAAGACTTTGCAGGGTCTGAGCTAGGCATTCAAGATGGTCTCATCGTCCCCAGGGATCTCTCTGTCTCCAGCTGGAGGCCCTTTGTGAGGGGTGGGGGTCTCTGTCTCCCGACATGTCCCAAATTCCCACTGTCACCAGATGGGTCTTGGAGGTCTCTGCATGGTCTTCACTTCTGCCCCCTCTGCTTTGTTGCAGTGACAAGTTCACGCGGTTCTGCCAGTGGAAGAACGTGGAGCTGAACATCCATGTGAGCAGGGGCACCTCCAGGGCATCTCTGGGGACACTGTGCGGGTGGAAAGCATGGGTCGGGGTCCTCCAGAAGGACACAGACACCCATGGCCAGTCCTGGCAGGGTAGCCTTGTGCAGAGACCCTGCATAGGTGCCCTCACACACACACGCACGTGTGTTCTCCCACTCACACGGGTGCAAGTTGCACTTCCACATCACCTGGGGACGCGCAGGGTGGTCTCCACGCTCCTCCGTGTTCTCCACCATCCACYGCCGCGTATGCAGCTCCGCTGGCACTGTGGGCAGCGAGGGCGCCGGGCGTGCGGGGTGACGCTCGCCTCCCTCTGCCCTCCTCCAGCTGACCATGAACGACTTCAGCGTTCACCGCATCATTGGCCGTGGCGGCTTCGGGGAGGTCTACGGCTGCCGGAAAGCGGATACGGGCAAAATGTAACGGGGGGAACGTGGTGCTGGGGAGGGAGCATGGGAGGATTCCCGGGGCCGTGGTCCCGCGGGCGGCCCCGACGCGGGGGGATGCGGCGGCGTTGCCATGACAGCCGGTGGCAGGGGGGATACGGAAGTGTCACCATGGCTACGGGCGGCTGGGGGATACGGGCACGTCACGGGCGCCGTGGGCGGCGGCTGGTTGCCGTGATGTGGCCGGGGCTGCCGTAGAGGGGGGGACACGGCGGCACGGCCGTGGGCGCAGCGGTGTGGCCGTGGGCGCTGGAGAGTTGTCTCCCTGTGGTTGGTTGGAGGTGGGTCCTGGAGCTACGGCTCCACGGGAGCCAAGGGATGGAGTAAGGTGGCTGTCAGCTGGGGAAAGGTGGCCCTGTGGCCATGGGCAGGCGAGGGATGTGCCGTGTGGTGGAGGAGGGACACGGCGCCGTGGAGCTGGGCGCAGGAGGGACGCAGCTCCGTGGAGATGTCCAAGGCGGCAGCAGGACCCCACGGGGCCTCCTTGCCCCCAGGTACGCCATGAAGTGCTTGGACAAGAAACGCATCAAGATGAAGCAGGGYGAAACGCTGGCCCTCAACGAGCGAATCATGCTGTCCCTCGTCAGCACTGGGGTGAGGCGCAGGGCAAGGGCGGCTCCGTCCGTGGGCACGGCGGAGGGGGGTCCTGGCGCGGCCTGACTCCGTCTCTCCCGTGCCAGGACTGCCCGTTCATCGTGTGCATGTCGTACGCCTTCCACACGCCCGACAAGCTCAGCTTCATCCTGGACCTCATGAACGGTGAGGGCCCCCGCTCTGCTCCCAAAGGCCGTGGCCAGCCTGACGCCGGGCTCGCAGCCGCCTGCCCGCTCCGYGTGGCAGCGCTGGGGTGACAGCTGGGTTCCTGTCGCCGCAGGGGGGGACCTGCACTATCACCTCTCTCAGCACGGGGTCTTCTCGGAGGCGGAGATGCGGTTCTATGCCGCTGAGATCATCCTGGGCTTGGAGCACATGCACAGCCGCTTCGTGGTGTATCGCGATCTCAAGGTGACCCCCACGGGCGCCCGTGGGCTCTGTGGGCATCTCCCAGACACCCCGTGGGCACCCGTGGGCCCCGTGGGTAATCCCAGGTCCCGCAGCCGGTCACAGACCCTGCAGGCAACCCCGGGCCCTGCTGGCAGCCCCGCATCCCGTGGGCATCCACAGACCCTCCTGGCGCTTCCCAGACCCCGTGGGCATTCCCAGGTGGCCCAGGTATTCCCAGAACGTGCAAGCAACCCCCAAAAGCCTGGGCACGCCTGGTTCTACAGGACCCCCCCAGGCCCCGTGGGCACCCCTGGATTCTGTCCGTGTGTCCTGAGACGTCAGGGACGCTCACAGACGTGTCGCTGCTCACTGCTGCGGGCAGTYCTGCCCCCACGGACACTTGAGTCCTGTGGGCACCCCCAAATCCCGCAGAACAGCAGTGCTCCAACCCACATGGGCACCTCGTGCCTTCCCTGCCGCCGTGCCCTTGGGCAGTGCCTGGGCTCAGGGAGGGCACGGTGTCTCGGCAGCCGGCGAACATCCTTCTGGATGAATTCGGGCACGTCCGCATCTCCGACCTGGGCCTGGCCTGCGATTTCTCCAAGAAGAAGCCCCATGCCAGCGTGTAAGCGCGCCCCTAGCTTGCCCTCCCTGGCGCTGCGTGGCTGGCACGGTCCCCGAGCCACTCTGTGTCCCCACAGGGGCACCCACGGCTACATGGCTCCGGAGGTGCTGCAGAAGGGGGTGGCGTATGACAGCAGCGCCGACTGGTTCTCGCTGGGCTGCATGCTCTTCAAGCTGCTCCGGGGGTGAGTGTGTGGGCACGGGGGCGTTGGGCATCCAGGGGCCGCACTGACCTGCCCTCTCCCCTGCCGCCCGCAGGCACAGCCCGTTCCGGCAGCACAAGACGAAGGACAAGCACGAGATTGACCGTATGACCCTCACCATGGTGAGTGTGCGGGGCCAGGGGCCTGCCCGGGCATCGGTGCCCGCACACGAGGCACGGGCACCGCGGCGTGCAGCAGCCTCCGGGTGCCAGGACGAGCTGGGGCTGGCGGAGGGCTGCGGGGCACGCCTGGCGTGCGCTCAGGATGGGCAGTGCCCTGCGTGGAGCGCGCGTGGCACCGTGCGCTCCCGGGTGTCCGCGCGTGGCTGCTGCGCAAGGACGCGTGCCTGTGTGGGCATGGGGGTGTTTGTGCCCGCGTGGGTGCACGTGCAAGGGGGAGGTTGCATGCACGGGTGCGTTTGCCAGTGTCTCGGTGGGCACCTCCTGTGTTGCATTAGCGAGTGTGTGCCCCTGTGTGGGTGGTGTGTGCGTGTGCGCATCCCTGCATGTGACTGGAGCGCACACATGCCCGCTGCATGCGTGTCTGCACGTGCTGGTGTGGGCATTGCAGTGCACACACGTGTGTGCATCCCTGCGCGCGGCCCACGTCGCAGTGCATGCACCCCTGCGTGCTGCGCGCGGGCACATCTGCGCCACGTCTGCACCGACACGTGTGTGTCAGTACACACGTGCGTCCTGGTGCCTGCGAGGGCACGTAGGCTCCTTGCACCTCCTTGCCCGTGCCAGGGAGCCCCTCGGGCTGGCGTCGGCGCGGGGGGGCAGCGGTAACGGTGCCCTCCCTTGCAGGCCGTGGAGCTGCCCGACTCCTTCTCGCCCGAGCTGCGCTCCTTGCTCGAAGGGCTGCTGCAGCGGGACGTCAACCGGCGCCTGGGCTGCATGGGGCGCGGGTGAGTCCTGCCGGGCGCGGGGATGGGCGCTGGGGACCCTGCCTGGGCCTCCGGAAAGGACTGCGTGCTCACGGCTGGCAGGGAGGGAGGGCAATGCCTGGCGTCTGCGGGCCGCCCCGTCCTGGCATCACTCCCTCCAGTGCTCAGCGCCCCTGCTCACTTCTCAGGGCCCAGGAGGTGAAGGAGGAGCCGTTCTTCCAGGGCCTGGACTGGCAGATGGTTTTCCTGCAGAAGGTGAGGGGCATGGCGACAGGCCACAGCAAGGGCCGCAGGGGCACGGGCAGCCCGCCCTCTGATGTCCCCCCTCCTCCTGGCAGTACCCACCGCCCCTGATCCCGCCGCGCGGAGAGGTGAACGCAGCCGATGCCTTTGACATCGGCTCCTTCGACGAGGAGGACACGAAGGGCATCAAGGTACCAAGGGCCGGCGCTGGGGGCACAGGGACAGGGCGTGTTGAGCTGGAGTCTCACCTGGCGATGCCCACCTGTGTGCCAGCTGCTGGAGAGTGACCAGGAGCTCTACCGCAACTTCCCGCTCACCATCTCGGAAAGGTGGCAGCAGGAGGTGACCGAGACCGTCTTCGAAGCTGTCAACGCYGACACCGACAAGCTGGAGGCTCGCAAGAAAGCCAAGAACAAGCAGCTGGGCCACGAGGAAGGTGAGCGCGGCCGAGTGCCCCCTGAGCAACCCGGCACAGCTCTTGGCATCTCTGCCACCCCCTTGGAGTCTCCCAGCGCTGCCCCGGCCCGTGGTGGCTGTGGTAGAGCTAGCCACACAGCTGCCCTGGTACCTCTTTGGGTGCCCTGGCCCTGCCCCAGCTCCCAGACTCCGGGATACCGCCCCATGGCTCTGCCGCAGCCCTGGCACTGCCAGACACAGGGGCAGCGTCCCCACGCCGTCTCCGCGGCACGCCACCACACTGGCATTGCTTTGCCTGGCACCGTCCCCCTGCCCTCCCACAGCACCTGTGCCAGCCCCCCAGCGCCCCCGGCCCTTGTGCCCACCCCTAGCTGCTCCAGCCTGACCCTGCCTCTCCCCTGGCGCAGACTACGCCATGGGCAAGGACTGCATCATGCACGGCTACATGGCCAAGCTGGGCAACCCCTTCCTCACGCAGTGGCAGCGCCGCTACTTCTACCTCTTCCCCAACCGCCTCGAGTGGCGCGGGGAGGGCGAGTCACCGGTAAGAGCGGCGCGGGGCGGGCGCGAGGGGACACGGGGCAGGCTTGGGGGGCACGGGTTGGCGGTGGTCTGGAGGGACACAGGTGCTGGGAGGGCATGGGGGGCATGGGAGTCTGGGGGGCGGGGGGCCGGGCTGAGCCTGTCCCCCCAGCAGTCGCTGCTCACCATGGAGGAGATCGACTCGGTGGAGGAGACGCAGGTGAAGGAGCGCAAGTGCATCCTGCTGCGCATCCGCGGCGGCAAGCAGTTCGTGCTGCAGTGCGATGTGAGTGCGCCCGGGCTCGCCCTTCCCCGCTGGCCGCCTCCCGCCCCGCGCTAGCCGAGCCCTGGGTACTAGTCACCTCATCCTGGGTACTAGTCACCACCTCATACTGGCTACCAGTCACCACCTCATACTGGGTACCAGTCACCACCCCGTCCTGGGTACTAGTCACCGCCTCATACTGGGTACCAGTCACCACCTCGTACTGGGTGCCAGTCACCACCTTGTCCTGGGTACCAGTCACCACCTCGTACTGGGTGCCAGTCACCACCTTGTCCTGGGTACCAGTCACCACTTCTCGACTGCTGTCTCTGCATGTGGAGCCCTCAAATCCACACCAGACGGTGCAGAAATGTGGGGGTGATCCGGAGCCCTGGCACGTGGGATGCCCCCAACTAACCTGTCCTCTGCCCYGGCCCCATGGGGAGCCCCAGACTGACCCATGCCCTGCTGCAGCCCCGTGGGGAGCCCCTTCCTCGCCCGTCCCCCGGCCCCGCGCCATGGGCAGCCCCGCACTAACCCGTCCCCGCCCGGGCACAGAGCGACCCGGAGCTGGTGCAGTGGCGGAAGGAGCTGCGCGACGCCCAGCGCCAGGCCCAGCAGCTGCTGCAGCGGGTGCCGCGCATGCAGAACAAGCCCCGCTCGCCCGTGGTGGAGCTCAGCAAAGTGCCCTTCATCCCGCGCTCCACCAACGGCCTCTGACGCCGCGCCCCGCCGCCCGCGTGCCCTCGTCCCCACCTCTAATTTATTGGGTTGGGCTCCTGCGCGTCCCCTCGCCCTTGCTGGTCCCCGCGGCGGGAGGCGTTCGGGGCCGCCGCGGGCGCTTCGGGGCCGCCTCGACGCGCGGCCGGGCGCCCACGGGGAGCCCAGCCCGCAGCCCAGGGGACGCGAGCCCTGCTGCCGGGCACGCCGCTCCGCTTGGCACTTGTCCCCTGTGAACGCTCCGGCTAAGATGAAGGTAGCCCCCCTCCGTGCCCGCCGCTCTCTGCCGCTGTCCCCCGTGCCCGCTTCGCCACAAGCGCGTGTGCCAAAGTGGCCGGGCGGATGCCCAGCTGCGGCCCGGCGGAGTGCTGCCCGTTTCGCCTGGCCTTTGGATGCCCTGCCCGCCTCGTGGGCGCCGTGTCCTCTGCGCGTGTCTGTGTGTCTGTGCCCGTGCCCGGGGGGGGACCCTCCTGTAAATATTGTGCCACGGGCCCCCTGGCCCTCCCGCCTCTGCCCGCTCTGCGCCGCCCCGCTGTGTGACCACATCCCGGGCGAGGGAGGCGGCACCAGCATCCCCATCCCGGGGTGCTGCCCAGCTCCATGGCAGGAGGAGGAGAGGGGCCCCAGCCAGCGGGTCCGCAGCGCCGTGCTGGGCCCGGGCGGGCGCACGGCCACGGTGCCCCCTCCCCACGCCGCCCCTGCCCCGCGCCCTGGCAGCGTCTGTAAATATTGATCTCCAGTTGGTCCGTGCCAGGTTGCGCTGGCGGGGGCACCGGGCCGGGGCTGGCAGCTCGTCTGTGAATGTGGTTTTCATGAGCGGAGACGTGAGAATGCGGAAAAAAATAGGAAAAAGAAGAAAAAAAAAAAAAGAGTTTTTATAATAAAAAGCTGGGAAAAAGGAATCTAGCTTCTTGTTGGCAGCGGGGTCGGGGCTCCTTTTCCCGGCCTGTGTGGCAAAATTCCCATGCCCGCACCCAGCCCGGTGTCTTTTCCACAGTGAGGCCAGGACTGCTTCCCCCTGGCTGGGGTCGCTGCTGCCCCCGGGGTGTTTGTGAGGGGCAGGAAGGGAGCGCCCGCGCTGGAGGGYGGCGAGGCCTGGGGCTCTGCTGCCTGCAGGATGCTCTGGTGTCTAATAAGCGGGTTGTGCGGAGGCCGCTCCCAGCACAGGCCTCAATTTCTCGGCCTCTGACGTCAACAGGAAGCAGCAGAACAGGCACCTCTGAAGTGGGGTGAAAGCAGCCCCCCCTCGGGGGGGTCCCCCCGAGTCCGGGCTTGGCCGCCCATCGGGGTGCCATGTGCTGCACAGAGCCCCCCACCAGAGGCAAGGGCAGGGAACGGGGCTGAGAGAGACCCCCGGCTCCGTGGGACCCGAAACACTGGGGGGGACCCCATGGGGGGCTCGGGGGCAGATCCTGCRGCCTTGGGTGCCCGCTGCGGGGGGCTCCCGGGCACGACCCGTGTGGGTCGGAGCCAGGGTGCTGCTGGTGGGGGTGTGTGGGGCAGGGGCTCCCAGTGCTCGATGGGGCAAAGCTGGGGCCTGCGGGGGCCGGATGCCAGAGCTGCCCCTGTGCGGGTAGACCCGGGGTTCAGGGGGCAGAGCCCAGGCCCAGGGCAGAGCCGGGTCTCAGGGGCGGCCCAGGCAGGACCCAGCCGGGTTCCCATGCCGTGTGCCAGCAGAACCGGGTCGTGGGCACAGCCGGGGCTCTGGGCGGTCCCGGCCTTGGTGGGGGCAGACGGGTTTTGGAGGCAGAGCTGGGCCCCGGGCTGCGGTCCTGGGGCCAGACGGGGGTCCCGGGGCTGGGCGCAGGGCCGGGTGGGGGTCCTGGGGCAGGCTGGGGGCCAAGCGGGGGTGCAGGGGTCCCGGGTGGGGGTCCCGGGCAGGGGTCCCGATGCCAGGCGTGGTGCCGGGGCTGGGTGCTGGGGCCAGGCTGGGGTCCCAGGGCCAGTGCAGGGGCTGGGCAGGGGTCCTGGCGCCAGGCGAGGGTCCCGGGCCAGGCGGGAGTCCCGTGAGGGGCCCCTGGTGCTGGGTGCAGTGCCGGGCAGGGGTGCCGGGGCCAGGGTGGGGGTCCCGGGCGGGGGTCCTGGGGCCAGGCGGGTGTCCCGGGACCGGGCGCGGGGCCGGGCGGGGGTCCCGGTGTGGTGCGCGGGGCCGGGCGGGGGTCCTGGGGCCAGACGGGGGTCCCAGTGCCAGGAGAGTGTCCCGGTGCCGGTGCAGGTGTCCCGGGCGGTGGTCCCGGTGCGTGGCACGGGCCCAGGTGGGGGTCCCGGTGCCGGGCGGGGGTCCCGGGCGGTGGTCCCGGTGCCGGTGCGGGTGTCTCA